TATGTAAGTGTATACATGTATATATATATGTGAGTGTGTGCGTGTTTGTGTTTGTGTGCGCGTGCGCGTGTGCGTGTGTATATATATTTATATATATTTCTATATACATTCATAAATATAATTATAGATATATATATGTATATATATATATAGATAAATATATATATATATATTTATATATATATATGTATATGTATATAAATGTATGTGTATATGTATGTATGTGTATATACACGTATATATGTTGATATATATATATATATATATATATGTTGGGATATTGAGATATCGTGATGTGTACATCTTTTCAATTTCTATATTGATATTCCCAAATTCAGAACCGGAATGATCTCATTTCATTCATTTCATCACATCCGTGATCTCGATATTCTCGCAGGAACACGGAGGCGGTATCGAATCACCGATATTCGACGCCGATACGCGCAAGGTGAGTGTTGTTGTGATCTCGTGCTTCAAATTACACATGTGTGCTTGAAATTTTCTGTCATGCACACACTTTACTTAAATGGGTACACATACATATTATCATGGAGATTGATTTTTCTGTCAATGTTAGTGAAATCTTTATTTTTGTTGTACGTGTTGTTGTTGTGCCACGCTTTGAGTAGTCTCCGCTTTTCGACGCCGATACGCGCGAGGTGAGTACTGTTTGTCGTCTTGCGCTTCAAATGTGTTCACATTCGCTGCAGGGCCAGTATGTACGATTTCTGTTGATGGCGCGCTATTTCGTATCCCTTGAACTTTACAGAAGCACTTAATACTTGACAGTAGCAGTCGCACTGATATCATTCGTATCTCCTGAACTTTGCAGAAACACTTAATACTTGACAGTAACAGTTGCACTGATATCATTCGGATCCCTTGAACTTGTCATTTCACACTTCAATTTTGGAAATTCCGTATACTCGGTTGTCGCAGAAAATTCCGATAATGCTGACAGAAATACGAGGTTTGTTGGTTTTGGTAGTTACTATTATCTTTGAATTATTAGAAAGCTACATAAAATATCAAGTACAGCTTGTATATCAAATGTCGTTATCAGTGACCAAATGTTCTTTGCCGATTGGAAATCGGTAATTACTTCATAAAATTGAAACTATACCCTAATCTTCACATGCATAAATTACTGTTGGGCATAACTCATCTGTTATCGTATATTTCAACGCAGACAATGCCGAAAATCACAATCAGTAACATGACGTTCGTTGGGAACCAAGCGTGGTTTGGAGGTGGGATGTCTGCGAACAGTGCCGATATAGCCCACACGCTCTTTGCCAAAAATGGGTACGTTCAAGCGGTCGATGAGTTTTAGAATCAGTGCTACATTCTAAATGAATCTCTTGAATCCGTTGAATGGTTGGCCTAGACCCTCGAACTCTGAACCTATCTCTAAGCCTCATCCCCTAAATTATGTCCATACACACTCCACTCTGAAACATAGAACCGCAATGGGATGCGAGTGCTAGCCTCGCATTGTTTGCGGAAGGTCTGATTCTCAGTCACATAGTACGCAACCAAATGATCCACTTGCTTTGAACCCCGGAACGAAGCAAAACACGTATTCATTTTAATATTGTCGCATGATGCATTTGCCGTAGCTACTTGTCCTCACGCATTCTTACTCCCTTAATCTCACATCCCTATTCGTACTCATTTACTCTTTCTCATTCACTCCTGCTCACCTACTCTTACTCAATTATTTTTACTCACTTATTCTTGCTGGCGTTCAATGTACATATTTGCACAGGGCATTGCTGGACGGTGGAGCATTGAATCTGATGCAGAGTGTGTCTCTGAGCGTTCTGAACAATGTCAGCGTGCACACCAACAGTGCGGGACGAGAAGGTGGGGGTGTCTACGCCCAGGGCTATCTTGCGCTGTATGTACCCAAAAACAACCGGTGTACATTCATATATATACTTGAGTCACTCAGTTGATAGTGTGCACTTACGGTATGCACCTTGGCTTAGCACGCTTTGTAACTTACCTGCGTAAACTTGCTTCTTATCTACTATTTTTATATAATTACAGTTTGTTGATATCGTACTCGTGCTGTATTTACCATGGCTGTTACACTCAGACACTTCTCTGCCTACACTCAGTAGACAGTACCTGACTTCTCGGTAGTCCAGTCTTCAATACTGTCCAACCCAATTCGCCCATGTTTGTTCTGTGTAGCCTTGCACCATTCATACCCATCCATTCGTGCCTGTTCCTACTCCCATACCTAGCCTGCGCTACCTTTGAATCTATGCTACCTTTGAATCTATGCTACCTTTGAATCTATGCTCATTGTAGACTGAGCAACTTGCGAAGGCGAAAGGCTACAAGCACTACTGTGTACACACTATCCACTTTTATATCGTTTCACATCCTACTTCTCGTACAACTGTGGCATGCCGTCCTTGTCCATAAACTTGACATGATACAATCTTCCCATGACTTGGAGAACCGAAGAAGTTATCGTATCAATGGAAATCTGGCATAGGTGAAATGCTCATTCAAGGATATGTATGGAGCGTTTACCCGCAAACATGATTCGATCCTTCTGCCTTGGCTATTGCGTCGTACCCTTCCCGTTCTTTAACTCAAGCACATTGCACTCATTCAATGCCCCACAGCATAAGTTGTCGTATCATTGGCAATATGGCGAAGGTGAAAGGCGGCGGTGTGTGGGCTGGAGCTCAGTTTCTCATGGTATGATATATTTCTTCTGATGCTTTATTCGTACATATGAATCGTCAAGTGAGATCTTACATTCTATCAGGACATCGATCGTTCGAGTTATTCGACTTGTTTCTATACTCCTATCCGACAAGTCTACCAGGTCATTTATGATACATGCATTCAATAGCAAGCCATGTTAAATTGTACATGCAAAGTCTACCAGGTCAATTAACCTACATGCATAACCCGTCATTTATGATACATGCATTCAATAGCAAGCCATGTTAAATTGTACATGCAAAGTCTACCAGGTCAATTAACCTACATGCATAACCCAAGTATGTCAATCAATAGCAAGCTAATGTTACATTGTACATACCAAGCCCTTGCTTAGTCCTTAAAGCTGCTCTACAGATCACATAGAACCCTCATCTCACTACACGCCTCGCACACCTTCCTGCAGGTGAATTCCGAGCTACTGTGCAACGAAGCAACGAACGGGGGAGCCCTCTCGGTCAAGCAGTTCATAGACGCCATCGGACTAGAAATCGAAACTGAAGAAGTGCGGCAACAGATACCAAAGGCCCAGAATGTCACTGATGAATTACAGCCGTATCTTGATAAATACACCGCCGCGGATGGTATGCTATAGTTCTTTTCTCGTTTAATGTCACTGATGAATTACATCCGTATCTTGATAAATACACCACCACGGATGGTATGCTATAGTTCTTTTCTCAGTTTGTGGAGTTTCGAATTGCCGACTTCATGCACGAGTGTCCTAAACTTTCCTGTGTATCGCTGAAAAAAACTCCATATAGCACGATTGAACCTCTAAATATTCCCTTCTATATACTCTACGGTGGCTTCCTAGCTTTATTTTCTCCCAACTTGTTTATCCGATAGTTGGTATATCTTATCGTACATGCGGTCATATATGCTATGTTTATTGTTGAATAAATATTGTCTTGTGTGTTACGTTTTCAGGGATCACAAACACTTCGTCCACTTGGGAGGCAGTCTGGAGACCTTCCTCAAATGACATAGCATCTATTTTACCAGGTAGGTGTAGAATTAGTGCGCAGTAGCGTTTTTAAATTATTGATGTTACTATTATGTAACTTTTGGTGTATTGAGATATGTCTTTATCTTTGTATGTCTGTATATGTATATATGTATGTATATGAGTATGTGTATACTTACCTATGTATTTATGTATAGATGTATCTATGTGTTTATGTATTTATTTGTGTATATATATATATGTGTGTGTGTGTATATATATATCGCTATATGTATATCACTATAATCACTATATATGTATTTATATATATATATGTATGTTTGTACTATATATATATATATGTATGTATATGTATGTATGTACTATATATATATATATATATATATATTAGTATATATATATATATATTATGTATATATATATATATATATATATATATATATATATATATATATATATATATATATATATATATATAGAAATGAACATATGTACGTATTCATTATTCTAATCCTGATCCACAAGATCATGCTTGTGGTAGGAAAACGTATTGTGCTGATACTGTGGTACTGCCTTGCATATGGCTGGGGAATACGTTGTGCTCTGGTGGACTTTTACCCGCATTAAATCAGCACACCCACATTACCCTCACTTGCAGTAAGAATGCACTGTCGTAGGCTGACGACTCTCACTTTATTTCTCATTCCGATCTTTAAACAGAACTCCTGACCGGGAAAGTCACGCTGAAGTCGTGGTTCGGTAATGTGGTGTTCAACAACGATGCCGTAGAGCAGTGTGATTCTCTGGTAAGCTCATGGGATGCTGGCTGCCTGGACAGCCTCGTCGGTATGTGCTTGCATGGGTTTTAGATCCTATTTGTCGTATTTACGTTTGTTGTTGCTGCCAACTATTCCGTGGCATGCAGCCGAGAACAGCCTTCATTACGTTATACCACCATCCAAATATTTTACCAATGTGCCCCTGTTGTTTGTTTAAAAAATAAAGATACACGTCATTCGTACGTATCCACATCGTAATCCATACACGAATCCTTCTAACGTTTTAATACCCATATTTTCTCTGGTCATGCTTTGGGGTGTATCTGCGGACAGCCTTCGATTCGTGTTACTGCCATGAACAGATAGTCGCGAGTACGGATCCGCACACTAGCTACTCACAGCAGTTGCTGGTGACGCCGTTCTCGTGTCACCACAAATGCGAGGAAGGCACATTTGCCGATAAATGTAGGTACAAATGCATGCAGGACAGTTCATTTTTGTATGTTGTTGTATTGTTTTAAAGAAATATCATAGCGAAATGCCTGTGTGTATGCCTGTACTTATATGTGGATGTGGTTTTATTTTTAATACGAATACTTCGGATATCTCGCAACCGCTCACCCGTACCGTAGATGAGATATCGTTCTCGCAGTACACATGTCCTCTCAATTGCAAAACAGGGATATACTCCCGACAAACAAAAACCATCATCGATGCGTACCAATGCGTACCCATACACGTGTGTACTTGTACGCAAATATGATGTGCGTGTTTGTACAAAGGTCTTGTAAGCGTTTGTATGGATAGCACTATGCCAATCCAGAATCTATTTGTTCAAGCCCCCTCTCATCCTCCCTCTCGCGCTTAATCTGTGTCTTGTGCACAACAAGAAGAATCCCTCTGCTACTCTCTCAGGTGTATTCCCTGACATCTACCGCCTTCACTACTGTACTTTACTTTCAATAGCATCTGGTGTGAGTATATCTTAACAGAAGGTTGCCTAACATCTCTGCCCACTGAACCTCAGCCAAAGATTTGTACCATCAACCCCCTCCATTAGTGTCATAGATAAATACATACAGAAGCATATAAATATACATATGCATATTCATATATATATATATTATGTGTATATAAATATGTATATATTTAACATACCGAGAATAGAATTTGTGCCCAAATAAAACCATTATCATAGATAGTCACACATCGTTACCACTTCGCCCTTTATGTTGTTCATATTTCTTAAATTAAATGATAAATCAATTTTTCTGAGTCCAGTGGATGGGAGGCAGGGCTAAGCGTCAGACTTAACTGACGCACGCGTAAGTGTCAGGTTTAGAGGTCGCACGCATAGGCGTCAGACTTAGTGGTCGCAGTCTTAACTGGTCTCTATCATTTGTATCTTGCATACTCGTTTGTAGCCTACAAGCTGCCTCTTTGATCCATTCCACTGGTTGGTGACAATGTACCATATACATATACATGATTCTCATCGATATCTGTTCACCACCCATACCCTGAACTTCAGTTTTGGATACGTGCCACAAGTGCGGCACTTGCGGCAATGGATCTATCATTCAAGAATGCACCACTGAAGCTGACACTGTGTGCGAGTGTCCCGCCGGATACGTAGGCAACGAGTGTCAGCATGAATGCTTTAAGCAGCCCATGTGTATAGAGAGCAGCACGGAATGTCATCTGTACGGTATGTTCAGCGGAGAGTGTGTTCTTCTCCTGCGCATGCGCGTGAGATTATTACGGATGTCTGATATGATTATTACGGATGTCTGGTATGATTGTTACTGATGTCTGATATGATTATTACGTACGAATGTCTGATATGATTATTACGGATGTCTGATATGATTATTACGGATATCTGATATGATTATTACAGATGTCTGATATGATTATAACGGATGTCTGGTATGATTATTACTGATGTCTGATATGATTATTACGTACGGATGTCTGATATGCTTATTACGGATGTCTGGTATGATTATTACTGATGTCTGATATGATTATTACGTACGGATGTCTGATGTGCTTATTACGGATGTCTGATATGATTATTACGGATGTCTGATGTGATTATTACGTACGGATGTCTGATATGCTTATTACGGATGTCTGATATGATTATTACAGATGTCTGCTATGATTATTACGGATGTCTGATATGATTATTACGGATGTCTGATATGATTATTACCGATGTCTGATATGATTATTACAGATGTCTGATATGATTATTACAGATGTCTGGCATGATTATTACGGATGTCTGATATGATTATTACGGATGTCTGATATGATTGTTACGTACGGATGTCTGATATGATTATTACAGATGTCTGATATGATTATTACGGATGTCTGGTATGGACGGATATCTGAATTGCACACCGATACTGACGCTTCGTGTGAGTGACCAATCGGGATACATGAACTGCACCGCAAAGATTTAGATGCGTGTCTACAGTCTTGTTTTCTTCTGGTAGACATGTGCAAAAGTATAGCTTGTGTTCAATATGTGAGGCTTTGTCTAAAATAAACATATGTCAGAATTGTACAGCGAGACCAGACACTTTGCAGAAGTGTGCCATTGGATACTTGGAGGATAAAGTGTGCAATATCTCAGTGTAGAGCTCTATATGCGTAGTTACATATGCATATATTTATTTATATACATTTGTATATATATATATATGTGAATATATATATATATATATATATATATATATATATATGTACTATAATATATATATATATGTATGTATGTATAGTATGAATGAGTGCATGTATGTGTATATATAGATAGATATATATATACATATATATACATATATAGGTTTATATATTTTAATATATATTATATATATATATATATATATATATATATATATTGTACGTATGTATGTATTTATGTATGTATGTATGTATGTATGTATATATTGTGAATACTTCTTAGTCTGAGTCTAGACGTACACTACAGTTAATTAAGAGTTTCTCGTACTGGTTATAACAATAGTGTTGTAGCGTGTGGCACATCCTGTGCTACACACTTTCTATGTATAATTAAATAATATTGACATGTGAATTCTCCCACGTGTATGTATATATATGTATGTATGTATGTATATATATGTATATATATATGTATGTATGTATATATGTATGTATGTATATGTATATATATATATATATATTTACCTACATATTATGTGGTATTTTTGCTCGGGCACTTACACTCCTAACCATGCAATAGCACATTCTCTCCCATGCTAGGAGCCTTTCTTTGTTTAAAGTGCAGGGATGATTCCTTCGTTGAGGATGGCTTGTGTCAACTCTGTTCGACATGTTCGAGTCTTTCAGTACAGGCGGCTGATGAGAAACCAGGCGCGTTGACTTGTGAAATCGATGGCGCATCGTGCGAGACCGTACTGACTGCTAGCACTAAGCGAAATCCCCCCAGCGGGCGTGTTGTGAAAGAGTGCACCCAGTATTCAGATGCCAGTAAGTTTTGTGATGTGATATATTCAATAGCGGTAGTTTCGTAAACTATGGGGTAGTGGATTATGGGGGTCTATACGAAAGACACGGGAAGGATGTGATAGGCTCTGACTGATAACTGGAATCGTGAGTACTGCGTGGTTGATTTTTTATTTATTTTTTTGATTTTGTTCCATCACGTTGTGTGTCTGGAAGGGATCGTAAGCGTACGAGAAATACATACGTAGATGCGTATGTGAGATTGAAAGCCGGATATGTTTTTTCTGCAGAATTGAGGATGGAAAATCCTCGTGGAACGAGAAAAAAAAGCAAAAAAGCTTGTTCAAAGCACACGTGTGCTTGTTTTGTGAGTAGATGTTCTGGCTTAAATCACATAGTTGTAAATGTAAATGTGAAGGTCTATTATAGGGGCAAAATCATATGAACCTACACAAATATCGATGTGTTGGATATAAATTTGCGATGTGTAAATCTACTTTATAACCGTGTTGTGTCGGGTCCATACCAGCACATCGTCAAGATCAATTTAGACATCGTTAAAAACTACATACATACATATCGATACGTATACTCGATCTAACTTTGTATCTCGACACCTTGAATTCATTATGGTCTCACCAATGATCACTCGACAGCTACACACACCCGCACTGAAAGTTACCTTTTAACGTATTCACGACCGCAATACCTCTGCTGTATTCCCAGCGTGCCTATGTGTCGATGGCTTCACAGGAGTGCAATGTACAAACAGGTGCTCGTATCCTCCTGGAGCAGCGTCCCTGGAAGATCCATACAACATCCTGCGATGTAAATGGAATAGGTATGTTGGAATCAAAAGCCGGACTTTGAATCTGGTGATATATTAATGAATGCAAGTATGTGTATACGTAGATATGCGCGGACGACCTGGCTTTACGGGCCAAGAACGGGCTTTGCTCGCAAGGAGTGCAAGTAAATTTATATAGGTTTTAATACACAATACACAAGCATTACATACAAAATTTATGTACGTAAATATATACAATATATATGTATATATATGTGTGTGTGTGTGTGTGTGTGTGTGTGTATATATATATATATATATATATATATGTTGTGTGTGTGTGTGTGTGTGTGTGTGTGTGTGTGTATGTATGTATGTATGTATATATACATATATATATATATATATACATATACATATACACATTATATATATATATATATATATATGCATACACATATACATATGCATTATATATATATGTATATATTTATATATATATATAATGTTTATGTATATGAATATATATATGCGTATGTGTATGTGTATGTGTATGAATATAAATAAAAATATATATTTATGTATCTATTATGTGTGCATGTATATATATGTGTGTGTGTGTGTGTGTGTATATATATGTTATATATATATATATATATATATATATATATATTTACATGTATATATGTATTTACATGTATATATATATATTTCTATATTTATATATATATGTGCATATATATATATTTATGCATATATATATATATATTTTTACGTGTATATATTTATGTATCTATTTGTGAAGCCATGTGTATATATATAGGTATAAGTATGTATGTATGTATGTATGTATGTATGTATATTTATATATATATATATATATGTGTGTGTGTGTGTGTGTGTGTGTATATATATATATATATAAGATGTTTGTGTAAACCTGCGTGTTTGTGTCTATGTACTGATACGCACAATGTGCATCCCGAGTGTTTGTACATGTGATATGCTCGGCAACATGGTCAATCATGGCTCGGGGGACGCGCACAGTCGGCCATCTGTGTAGTATGTATCAAGGATCTTTCTCCTTTAACCCCTTGTAGCCTTTTTACGCCTTTGGGGGGAATTGGGTATCAGAGAACTAGTTATATCTCAACCGCTATTCAATTGTCTTGACGCATAATAGTGGCCCAGATCTATGGTACAACGTTTCTATCACTTGCAAAACTTGATACAATTGGGCGAATATTTGAAGGTTTGGCCGTATTCTCAGCTATATTCCTCTATGCTCTGAAATGTTAAATCGTGAAACCAATTGTGTGTATCTATTCCAATCGATCCCTTGCAGAACCGACACCGCTTGGGGAGTTTCAGCCCAATCGTGCTACGATGGTTTCTACATAGATCTGGTATCCGATGGTAGGCCTATGTACTTGTACTAAGTTGGTTGGTTCATGGCTTTCACATTGTGATGGACATATGTGAACTGCAAAATAGCAACACTTTTTCAACCACGCCTGAAGTAGTCGTGTATCTGATCAAACACCTCACCGTATTCATACCAACGATGCAATCGAAAGTTCGGTAGTCTAGAAATATTGTCTGGAGATTCGAAGGTGTCATGCGTGAGTGTGTGAGTGGTTTGTGGTGTACATTTGGAATCATTCGTATACACATCTTTCGTATACACATGCATTGAGCCTATGGAATCTCACTCCATCACCACACCCATGATTGTTATCAAACCAATATCCAATGCCACGCTCATCGCGAATCAGAATCATTGAACAATGCCATATCCAATATCCAATGCCACGCTCATCGCGAATCAGAATCAATAAACAAAGCCATATCGAGCGCTATCATCGCCCATCATCGCTACTATACACTCGGTGATCACAATTCCGTTACCTATAGCAATAGTCGTAATTGATCCCATATCCCGTTTTCATTATTATAACAATACTGTACCAGATGGAGAGACCTACTACTTCCTCCAGTGCATTCCCTGGACAATATGCAAACCGGGAGAAATACAATCCGTCTTGCCTGACCATTATACGGACCGGGACTGCTCGGGTATGTTCTATACGATAGTGCTGTACATCATCTTTGTTAGCATGCGTGAGTCTCTGTTGTTTGATTGTTATTGAGTGATACAATTTCGAGACTCTTTCGCTCACAATCTGAACTTCTCATGCTCGTGCATGTTTCATACGATTTTCCAGTGCATTGTTTTCTGGTATGCATGACTACATTGCCTTTTGATTGTTGTTGAGATAGTGCAATGTAATATATCTGTTGCTAGAGCATTGTTTTCTGGAAAGCATGACTACATTGTCCTTTGATTGTTGTTGAGATAGTGCAATGTAGTATTTGTCTGACCAACACCTGGCCCACACTGAGCTGAGTATGTTGTTTTGATGGGTAGTTTCTACACTGAGCTGAGTATGTTGTTTTGATGGGTAGTTTCTACACTGAGCTGAGTATGTTGTTTTGATGGGTAGTTTTCACACTGAGCTGAGTATGTTGTTTTGATGGGTAGTTTTCGCACTGAGCTGAGTATGTTGTTTTGATGGGTAGTTTTCACTCTGAGCTCAGTCTGTTGTTTTGATGGGTGCGTGTAAGTGCTGTGCCCCTTGGTTGTTGCAAGGTTTGTTTAATTCCGATACGTCGTTTGTTTTGTCAGACCAACGTCTAAATCGATTGTGCTATCTCTTGGGGTGTACATGAGTATAGTGAATTCAGTGTCGCTTCTGTGCAGAGCTTTCGTAGGTAATGCAACATGCCGGCAATGACATGTCGTTGACTGAATTCGAGTGAGTTTGTATCAGTGTTTGGATGATTTGTATGTTGCTGTATCTCTGGTGAGTGTGTGGATGATTATCTTACGTTATCTTTCACGGATTTAATCTGATTTTATAGCGTCAGTGTGTTTGTATGTTTTGACGGTTGACCTATCTGAGGTGCGGTCAAGTGTACTCAAACAGATCGAACCCGTCTTATCACTATATTGTAGATAATAATACCGCGTTCCATCCGCATACACAGTTGAATATATACCACATACGTTTCAATATTCAACAAACAGGTTTACGCATACACGTTAACCTACATACTACATACCACTTACGTTTCAGTATTCCTATAAATATCTTGTGCATTTTTCTCGTCCTTTGCTCAGCACAACTCAACGTCACGTTCTACTTTGCCGACGGCTGGCCTCCACTCAATGAGAGCGAAATCTCCCAACTCAGCAAAACCTGGTTTGGAACCAGTCAAGTACCGTTTATCCTTGCGGACATTAGCGATGTAAGTCTACTATTGCTGAAATGCCATAGCGAATCTTCGTGCACATGTCTAATTGTACGAACAGAGCTACCCACGCACATATATCATTGCTGAAATGCCATAGCGAATCTTCGTGCACATGTCTAATTGTACGAACAGAGCTACCCACGCACATATATCGAAATGTACGCATAGTGCATGTGTGGTATTGTTTGCGTCCATTCCAGTAGCAGACGTCAATGCGATCGACCTGTTTATACACTGCATTTGAATATGAGCGAAGATAGGTGAACAGGTGTACTTTGTATATATATATATATATATATATATATCTGTAATATATTTATATGTATATATATATCTTATATATATGTGTGTGTGTGTGTGTGTGTGTGTGTGTATGTATGTATGTGTGTGTGTATGCATGTATGCATGTATGTATGTATGTATATACATATATATATATATTGTATATATATATATCAAACATATATATGTATGTATATATTTATGTGTATATATATACATCATATATGTATATATATATATATATATATAAGTATGTATGTATGTATATATATATATATATATATATATATATATATATATATATATAGTATATATATATATATATCACAATGTATATATATATATGTGTGTTTTGTGTGTGCGTGTGTGTGTGTGTGTATTTGTATATATTATTGTATTGTTATATTATTAATATATGTTCGTGTAAATGTATATTTATGTATGTATGTATGCACATACACTTATTCCTGTATATGCGACATGTATACAATTGTTTTGTGTACAGCTGCACGTAATACATCACCGCGGTCGGCAAGTGTTATGCTGTATTTTTGTAATGATGTTAGTTGACAGATTCTTCGAAACCTGTTCGAATACTCATGTACACGTGTGAAAGTGGGCACTATAACTCTCATCACCTAAAACCCTTGCAACCCCGAACCTGAAAATTACAAAAGCAACCAACGGCGTTTCGGCGGCAGTCCGATGGATCGAATTTGACCGGCACCTACCAGAATTTTATCATGCCCATTGAGGTGTGTAGACCTATCTATTGGTATATGTTGTATATACACATGAATTCAAATGTATTTGTATCTATTGTGCTGTTGAATATATACATGGATGCAGATGTATGCGTATTTATTGTGTTGTATGTATGCATGGATGCAGATACGTGTATCTATTGTGTTGTATATATACATGGATACAGATATATGAACAAATTTCGTGTGGTATATAATATATATATATATATATATATATTATATATAGATATAGATATATATATATATATATATATATATATATATATATATACCTGACTAGTTTAAAGTATATATATGTAACTAACATCAATGTTGTTCAGACTCTATCCAAAGTCAGGCTGGATGTAGATCTGTACATTAATATTAAGATACACCAGTATATTGAAATTTCCGCCGTTGTAATTTTTATTTATTTTTGCAATGTCTCTTCCAAGATCACTTGGTCCCATGAAAATGTAACTTGCATCTGAACTTGCTTTTACATTTTGTCTTGTATCTATAAACACGCAGGGCCAAAAGGAAATCATGCAAACGAGAGCAAAGGGTAAGTTCCAGGCAATGTCATAATTATTTTATGATATTCCTATTCTTTGGCTATACCATGTCTCTTTTGGGCGTTAGTTCAATCCCAGGACGTTAGTTCGATCCCTTATATTTTAGTCTTTTTCTCTAGAGGGTCATGACTATGTGCCATAGTTTTGTTCGGGTATAGGATTACTCGATTATAAATGTAGTTACCTCTATCGGTCATTTTTTTTCTCACATGTACAACAAATAATATACGCCTAGAATATACAGGAACACACCCATTTGTATACTTTTATTATGTATATATATATATATATATATACAATACATGTATGTTTGTTTGTGTGTATGTATGTATGTATGTATGTATGTATGTATGTAGGTATGTATGTCCATATATGTATATGTATTTATATGTGTGTGTGCGTGCGTGTGTGTGTGTGTGTGTGTATAACCTATGCTCGATACGACCATTATATCGCGAATTATCTTGAGGAGCTCGGATAAACTATAGTGCCGGTGACAACCGGAATATATTCGGACATACCACGACCTACACACAGTTAAAGTTTGTCTTCTGCTGATGCAAACAAGAATTGGTGTTCTTCAATCCCACTTTCCTGCTTACAGAACCCGAGATGTTTCTCGACAGGGGAATCTATTTGTTAATGGTCAACGGCGAACATTGTAAGTACAAATCACGAAGCGATTATATGACCATCACACAATATGTATGTATTAGTAGACTATATATACCCTGAAGTCTTGATTATGAATTGTGTATTTGCAGCTTGGGAAATATGTTTGTGGCAGTGGAAATATAGCACATGTGGAGCATAATTACATGGGTATAAGTAATATATATGTTGGCTACGAAAATGGCTTGTGACAACCGTATACATATAGGTGATATATACAACTTACACTTTGTTGCGAGTCTGAGGCGTGATAACAAGCATGCACAAGTACCTTAGACCAACGGAGCATGAAATCGCTGGTGAGATTTAATAGAGGTGATCCTTTTTTGGACACCATCGTCAGAGTGACTTTTCCACGTGATAGCTCAGTATTTTTACGCTGGGGTTTCCTCCTTGTGTCGGTCGGTAGTTGTGGTTGGGTATATTGAAGGCTTCCAAGTCAGCGACACCCACTAATAGGATTATACATACATACATGCTTGCTTCCTCCTTGTGTCGGTCGGTAGTTGTGGTGTATATTGAAGGCTTCCAAGTCAGCGACACTCACTAATAGGATTATACATACACACATGCTTGCTTCCTCCTTGTGTCGGTCGGTAGTTGTGGTTGGGTATATTGAAGGCGTCCAAGTCAGCGACACTCACTAAAAGGATTATACATACACACATGCTTGCTTCCTCCTTGTGTCGGTCGGTAGTTGTGGTTGGGTATATTGAAGGCGTCCAAGTCAGCGACACTCACTAAAAGGATTATACATACACACATGCTTGCTTCCTCCTTGTGTCGGTCGGTAGTTGTGGTTGAGTATATTGAAGGCTTCCAACTCAGCGCAGGGGCCATTGCCGGTATAGCCGTGGGCTGTGTGTCTGTTGTGGCGCTGGTAGCCCTGCTCTTCTGGTTTCTTTACAAACGGTATGTGCCGTTAGTGTATATATGGGTATGCTGTATTGCTTCTTTTATAGACGGCATACGATTTTGATTCCTTTTGTGGGTGTGTGTATATATGAGTATGCCTGTGACACTCCAATCTTGTATAGATTAATGGGACACCTACATCAGCACAGAAATTGTAAGAAGGTGCAGGCGCGAGAGCTGTTGTGGGCATTGCTATTGGGATGCTTTGTATCTTGTGCTTCTTCCTCAGGTGGTTTAGTTCTTTATTTGTATGCACGTGTATGTATCATTGGACATATCTAGTCGTTTGTATATGTACAGACATTCACATAATTGGTCAGTGTATACAAACGCACAAAGCTCGAGTATACAAGTCAATTGACGTGGACTCACAATGCTCAATCTTGCATACCAAAACCCTGCAGACATCGGCGAATCGAAAGCAGGATGCAGGAGAAAATGAACAACATCGCCAAAACACTCTTCAAAAGGGGTGGCTCTGTTAGTAGCGAGGCAGTTTTGCGAGAAATGCAGAAGTCGGTAAGTGTTTAAAGTACTGAACGGGTACATGCACTCCCATAACCGTATTTGAGTGTCCATAATTTATGTTGTCATAGGAGCACATATTCACCTTTAACTGTTTGAATTTCAGCTGTGTCAGTATACGGATTTGGTCTGTTCTCACAACCTATCAAGTCGATAGCCAAATGCACACTCTCGTCATTAGCTCAGGACTAGGACTGGGAAAATATTTCTAAGCAGTCTGATCTGCAGGAGAAACTAGTCTGTTTCTAATATTTCTCGACTAGATAGTAGAAATATGTATTGTAGGTCAGGTTGTTGCGCACATTTATAAAGATTGGGTCGAGCTGTATGCTACAGGAAACGTCTGTATACGGCATAGACAGACAGCTGCCAACGACTTGTGCCATGCGCAAGTGGCCCTGTTCTTGATACTGCAACGTGTACTTTCAGCCCGTCTCAGTTCGTCATTTGGCTCTTGTCTCTTGAGATGTGAGATCTACCGTGATGTCAGCACGACCCAACCTTCTCGCGCATTTGCCTACTTATTCTATTTATAGGCCAAACCAATCGATCGTGACAGCTTCACCATCCTGGAGTGTATCGGTTCGGGTCAATTCGGCACAGTCAACAAGGGCGTAGTTTTCCTCGAGAATCAATCATCAATATGCGCCATTAAGGTTACCAAGTATGTGTGTATCTGAATATAGATTCGCAAGTGAGTCTCGTAAGTTAAGGTTAACAAATATGCATCATACATCTCACAGTAAAGCCCGTCAAATACGTATGTCATATTTTATTTGTAAACATCTCTCGAGATAAGGTTATCGAGTATATGTAGTGCTAAGTAGCAGCCACCGGGTATGTGCAGTTCTCGAGCAAAGCAACCGTTTCGATGAAATATACCGTTTTTGGTAGTTACTAAGGGAGGGGGTTAATGCATATGTTCCATTCTAGAGTAGTTTAAACATCCAGCTAAACCTTGTTTAATCACTATATGCCTTTATTCATCCTTCCCCTTATCTTCCTTGGCTTTACTTGCCAACGATCTCACTCAGAATGGATTCGGGTGATGACATATTGAAAGAAGCAGGAATTATGCAAAGTTTTACGCATGCCAATGTGGTTAGAGCATTCGGCCTGTGCTCGGACAGTGGCGACATTTTTCTCTTGCTGGAGTTCTGTGATTTGGGTAAGCTTTATACAGTTGTTACTAAAACTCCACAGTATAATTTACCTTGGTTTTATATAGTTCTCACCAACAACATGAAGTATATATATTTATATATATGTGTGTGTGTGTGTGTGTGTGTGTGTGTGTCTATATATATATATATATATATATATATATATTTATATATATATATATATTTATATATATATATACGCTATTTTGTTTTATTGCTTGTGTCTATGTCAGTGCAAATCCCGAACGGTGGCGAATTGATACGTATTTGGCCTGCACTCTTATTCCTAAACCTTAAAACATTGAAACCCTAAAACTCTAAACCCCGACCTCCACAGGTGACGCACAACACCATCTGGCGTCACTTTCACAGTCCGATCCGGTCCCTATGCGAATCAAAATCATGATTCTCGAGCAGGTCGCCTGCGGTATGAAGTACTTGGATGACATGAAAATAGTACATCGCGATATAGCGGCTCGAAATGTGCTGCTACAGACACCCAACTCACACAACAGGTAGGTTTTTGGCAATACAATAGAGGATTAGAAAAACGCTTTCCTATGAACAAATTTTATTCGCTATTGGTAGGCGTATTGAATCTAGAAATTGCCTTGTCACGGACAAAAGATGCACACATCAGACAGATATTTGGAGCGAGATTGTTATGTGCGTATTTTCTATGGACAAGATTCTGCGTGATTGTCAGTTTGAGACCCTGGTCATGTTGAGCTGTACAGGTGCTCAGTGTTCTTACGTCGATTACTTATGTATTTGCCAAGGGAGTGTAGCAGTGCCGATAGGAGAGAAATGTGTCAATCACGACATATGGCATAGCAGACTAGAGATATGTCGTGTAGCTCGTATGTGCTGATGTATTTCTATATACCGAACTATAGTGTAATGTATTACAGTATACATTGTTACAAAATCTTGTACTTCCATATGTTCATCAGGATCTATTTATGTTGATCCAGTATAGTGTGGTTCGATATAAAGTATGCATTGCGTACTTTCTTCACAATGCATTTCTTTGCAGACCGCCGCGAGCGAAGGTGTCCGATTTGGGACTCGCGCGAGAACTGGACGAACATTCGCAGTACACAAAAACATCACAAAGTGCACAGCTACCTGTCAGGTGGATGGCTCCGGAGAACATCATGGAGTATGTACCGTTGTCATGGGCCAGATAAGTACGCACACAAATAAGCATGTTGTATTTATATTGACTGTTCTATATATGTGGTTGATGTATGTGTTGGTTGCAATGCTGGGTTCATATGTGCATGACAACTCTCAGTACACTAATATACCACAGCCTGTGCAGCCGCGTTTCAGACGGATATGATGTTTTGTTAACTATTCTGCTCAACTCATGGGTGTGTAGCTAAATCCAAGCTCAATTCAAGCTTGCTCATCCAATTCAAATCAACTGCATATACTGACAGCTTCAAGGCAAACCAGGCCACTGATGTCTGGGCCTTTGGCATCACCGCTTGGGAGATTCTATCCAATGGGATGATGCCATTTGAAAGCTTGAAGAACAAGGAGGCGAGTTTACGTTCTATTTATGTGCTTCTGAGGGTGTTTATATGCAGATGTGTGTATGTATGTATGTATGTATGTATGTATATATTTGAATATGTATGTACAAGAACGGAGTTGCAGGAGTTGTAATTCTATGTGCCTGATATGACTTCAGATTGTTTCATTTCTACGAACAAGTGAGTATGTATATACACTTGAATTGTTCTATTTTTGTTCTTTTCCTGATACCGTGTTTCCTAACCTTAATCTTCGGCCGCTTCTATAACAGGTGATAGTGCTCTTGACCAATCCAAATTTAAACATCAGCACCTATCTGATGAAGCAAGATCACTGGAGCGACGACATTTATAGGATAATATTAGATTGCACCGCTTTTGAACCGGACGATAGGCCGTCATTTGATATGCTCATAAATGATTTTACGAGGATCGTGAGAAATTTGGTATGTTCTTGAGCGTTGAATGTAAATACGAACACGCGTATGGCCGGGTCATCAAACTCCTTGAGTATGCCTTGCACATCACTGCAGTTATGGGTGTCCAGTTCAAACTATTTCACATAGTTTTAATATGAGCCTACGTGAAGCTATGTTACACGCAACACGTATATATCAGATTATCCTGAATAGATCGGAATGCGGGGTAGTGTTGACATCGAGCGCATACTCGGGTGTCTTTTACCCGGGTGTAATGTTTTGTGTTGGTCTTATGTTCCTTTCAGATACGAGCAAACAGTTGATTCCATGTACCTATATGTACATAGTGTTTGAATGTCCTGTTCCAAACTTACACGGGAGGATGGTGTGCTCAAGGTGGATGGATGCATGAGTGTACAAACTTCACACGAGTACACACACCAATTAGAGGCAAGGTTGGCTAAACAACTTCTAACCACCACACAGGGCCGCTTGACTGTCGATGAAAAGAACGACCTTATGACCTACAACGAGAATATAAAGTGCAAGTATGTTTCTCCACTGCCGCTCCCCTTTAGCAGATGCCTTGTTCTGATGAAGTAGTGCTTCACATCACCAACAGTAACGCAAGTACTTATGTACTACTCTTTTTCTGTGAGTTCTCACCCCAAGTGGCGACAGATACTTCACAAGTGTAGTAATGGCCGTCGCTTGAAATTCTTGCATTGTTACCCTGGTATATGCTATCAACCCTTCACGCCGTCGATTTGTGCATGAACACGCATGTTATCCAATCATTCGTATGCATCGCGATTGTCGTATTGGTCATTAACTCTGGCCAGGGCCAAGGCGAATCGTTTTCCCAATGTTGGAACGGGTAAAATTCATCATGCTCGTACACTCATCGCTCTCATCATCTGGAATATGTTTTTAGGTTCACATGGATGATGGGAGATGGCGATGTCAATGCCTTAGTACATGCGACAACCAAGAGAATGATTGCACAGAGGAATTCGATCGACAATACAGTCTATACCGAGCTACAACAGCCAGTATCGAGTATGTACCGGCTTCTTTATCATATTAGCCAACTACTGTTATGATAGGAGAGTGTATAGCTATTAATTGCTGTTTGTATCGGTGCCCAGAGATACAACTATTGCTTTTGTTGAATGTGTATTGCCCTTGGGAATTGCTCAATTGCCCAAATACTCGCGTGTTCCCGATTCTGCGCACGCATGGAGATTCGTGTCTAAAATAATATGATATCACTATTCGCTTATGTATCACACATGTAGGTATATTTGCCATCCAATGTACATGTATTCGGATTCGTTCTGTTCCTTGAAATATCTCATCTGTCTAAACCATATGTTATGCAAAGATGTTGATATTTGTGTATCGTTGAAGAATGCGCACGTGAGTGAAGTTGTTGACTCCATCTTAGTGGGCTTTTATTGCCTGGTTTCTGATGGACATTCCCTGCATATTTCCGTAGTCAGAACGCGCCTATGGAATTCTAGTTTGATACATGAGTCATTTTCTTAGCACACAATTGCATGTTATTCTTGGAAGTTTTTGTCGTGCCACTCACACAAAGGTACTGCTGCGTATGTTTATAGGACCGGACAGCACAGCCGAGGAATGTGAGAGACTACCTTCTCATTATAGCCTTGGTAAGCCAATTATGCACGAATTGCTGTGCTTTGCGCCAAGCCATGAGGCTTTCTTCCAAAAAAAAAAAATTCTACGTCGCTTTTTATTTGCGATTTGTAAGGCACTGTCTTCAATCCTAGTATGCGAGTGTGTGCCCATTTGAAAAAAATTATCTTGTGTATATTGTCATAGCCTGGGAGCGTGTTCGGCTTCTCCAACACAGATCCCAATATCGTATCCGTAAAGTGATGTATATGACAAACCAATGTTATCACACCAGGTTGTGGTATGTCCGCGTATTCGTAAGTTCAACATGTCTTGATATTTTCATGGGGCGGACTTATGTCGCAATTGCTTATATTTAAAAAAAAATACCTTCACAGGTGTAGAGAATGATCAAGAATCAACACAACGCCTCGGTAGTTCGGCGAACCTGTTTGATTATAGACCGTTAAGGAGCACTCCAAGCAGTCACAGTTCCGATGTGATCTATAACGAGGAGGCATCATCAGCTCGGGTGGTGAACCCTTATTTGGACTTGAATGCGAAATCAAATGATTGACGCATCGGTTAACTCATCAAATAGCGAATGGACAAGATTCGCATCTAGACTAAATTAGAAAATCTAAATTGAGTGGAGCTGGCAGTTTGTGGATTGCACTGTGTGCCTTGCAGCATTAAACCAATAGATAAAATGTCAGCATTTTGATACCATCTTACATGCTGATCGACTCTCGCCAAAAATTATAATTGCACAGAGGTGTGTTCCGGAATAATTACACGTAATGCTGTATGTCCGTTATATCACCCAGTAAATGATTAGCCCCTGAAACGTCACAGCCAAATCGGGCATAGTTTGACTTAAACCGAATAGCCAATAAATAAATTGGTTCAATTGATACCATGTCACCGGTGACTCCGTCATACTTGAATTTACCCGAAATCAATATGACTTGAAATTCGCCGATTTTAATACTCGCTGCCGACATGATGATTTGTGATAATACTATTAGTTTAAAGCTATTTTTGCCCTCAATTCATTAGAATAACATCGATTTTATAGTATCAGAACTCTACGGTGAGTATTTTAAGTGCACACCGCATGTCTGTCTTATATCATTGAATATAGACCTGATCGGGAAAGTCAAAATTCTATGGGTATATGGCACACGCCTTATTAGAGAAAACTCCATCGCGATTCATGGTCACGGCCCATACTACAACACGGACAGAGATTACAAACAGATATCAACTAAAAGTGACAGCTTGGCGTCTGCACTCCGCCATCTTGGCTGCTTGGGGCTTCCAGAGGTACATTACACAGACTGGTTTTAAGCGATATCAACACACCGTTTTAATTGTGACCAAGAGTGCCAAACAAAGTCCTCTCGAGCTCCCGAGATCGAAGGCCGAAGCTGAAGCTCGCAAAGATTATCAGAGCAGTACGTAGTGAGAGTAGTATGAGCAGAGCTTGAAGTTGCTATGGATGTTATAATTTAGCTTGTTTTGTTTACAAAAATGGCCGCAGATTTCAATCTGCTATTTATGTTTTATCATCTTGTATCAGGAATGACGTCACGGTTTTTATCGCTATCAGTGATTGTACTATCAGTATTGATAGTACAATATACTGATGGTGAAAATACGTGACTATTAGTCATTCCCTCACAAGACTCTTCACTTGCTTTTATGCAGGGGTATAAAAGCGAGGGAACAGAATGCACTTATCTGTTCTCCTCACGTCTAAAACCGCAAGCCGTACACTTTACTACCCTTCCAACAGATCACATCGTGATCATGGCGGACCAATACTTACGCAATTTCATTCAACAACAACAAGATCTACTAAGCAATTTATAAGCCCAAAGTGCCCAGTTGCAGAACCAGATTACCCGACTAACACAGGATCATACCGCCACAGCTCTTCGAACTGCAACAAACGCCTTACAAACGATTGGCAACGTTGGATATCTCGCTCCGGATCCTCTTCGTCCATCTAGTTTGCTGAATTTTCGGTTTTCACTTTCCATCAGTAAAAACTAGTCCTTCGCACACTGGTTTCAGTCTCGCGTTGCACCAGTGCCAGCAATTTGCACAGGAGAACCGCTCGAGTTATTTTCTATGTTCAAAATGTGGAATTTCCAGACGGGCTCGAATCTCGACCCTGTCTAGCTGGTACGAATGTGACGCCTCGCCCGTACAGAAGGAACTACTCAATCATATCACACTTTTTTTTTGTAGAGAGGTCTCAACCAATCAGCGTTTTCATGCAATACAATAGAGGAGCATCTGTAAGCTCTCCGGGGGTTAGACTTCGAGCTCATCACATATATCATCCACATTTGCGAGTGCAAATATACTAGAATCAAAGAAGGTGAAACAAAGGGCAACACATGGCATAACCGGCAAGTACACAGAATCCTATCGAACTGTCCTACAGAAGAAACAAGAGTTTGCACTTCGGGGTCACAAACCCGAATAGTTGAACAGAAAGAAAATCGACCACTCTTCAATGAGCTCGACAGCACCGGAGGTACAAGTTCTTCCCGAGGCAGTGTCCGTGGCTGTGGCACGTACAACAATCGGGACTCACGCACCGAGTTAACCAGTAATACTATATATATATGTGTGTGTGTGTGTGTGTGTGTGTGTGTGTGTGTGTGTGTGTGTGTGTGTGTGTGTGTGTGTGTGTGTGTGTGTATGTATATGTATAGTTTATGTTTCATGGGAACACGTGAGAGCGAATGTCGCATCATAATTAGTGCCCTGCGTTTGAGTAAAACCTCGGGCGCATAACCGTGCCTTGTATTTATCAACTATGCCGTCAATCATTTTGACCTTAGAGACCCACTTGCTGGAGACAATAAAAGCATCATCTAGGACGTCTTCGGGCTTAAGAAGATCATACGTCTTGGACTTGGCAAGTCATAATTGGATCCACTGTAGCGGAGTTGAGCCCAATCTAGGTTCAAGTCTCTCTTGGGAGAAGAGAGATTATTACTGTCGTCTGTGTTTGAAGGTGACATAGTGAATATAAGTAGAGTGAGAACAATCAATGGCACATAACCTAATGATCAACTATACCTATTGAACTAGAAGGACAAATCTTTATTTAATATTTGTGTTGTAAATATATAATAAAGCTGTTGTGTAAGTGAAAATATATGTGAGAACGTATCCAAGATAAAGTGTTGTCAAGGATATGGAAATCCAAGTTGGATTAGTGAAAACCCCAGTTTGTCATGTAGAAGAAATAAGTCATGCTTAGGCATGCTCAATAAGAGCTTCAGTACGAGCAAGCTTTTCAAGGGCTTCGTCGAGGCGGCGCTTAAGAATATCCTTTTCACACTCAATACTGGAATGAAGATCGTGGAGTTGGCTGAGTTCGTATTTTAAGTCAACATATTCCTGTTTATAGCGTGTAGCATCGTCGTGATATTGGTCACGGTTGGTTGTAACGCGACGAGCATTGGTGCGCGAGACGACGAGACGGGCTAGGACGACAGCCGTGCTGACGGGGATGTCGTGAGCAACTAGTTGCAATTCACTGAGCATGTCATGAGTGCTAAGTGAGTGTATGTTTGCCTCGTCAAGCGTCTGGTACGTAGGACAATCAGGCCAGTGATCATCATGAAATGCAATAGCACTTTCGAGGGAGACAAAGGCCTGAGGTATAGTAAAGACTTCAATGGAGGGAGGCATGTTGAATGACTGTGTGTATACCCGTGGTTGTGGTACCTGCAGATGTGTAGCGCGCGAGGTAACTGAATGCGAAGGGTATGAGACAGAGGAGAAACAGTATTATAGGAGTCTAGTGTTGGTTACATAGGCTCATAACCTATTAAACCATATGGAACTATGAATATAGTTACTTTATTATCCCTTTTTGCAGGGTTATATATCGTATAAACAATGTGATAGTTCACACGAAAGTATATCATTTAATCTGTGAGTGTCATAAAATATTGACACTGACATTTGTCAGTTTTCTTGTGTACTATAGTTAGTACCGAACTGCTATTGTATAGGAGAATAACAGTGATGATTTTGTCTTCACAATAATTTCTTGGTTGGCTGACAAAGACAAGTGTGTATTTTTGTCAGCAATCCACTCTCACCTTAAATACTTCCTCATATTGCGAAACCAACCCCTACCCAACCCTATATCAGCGAAACCACATACTACATTACCCCTACTCATACGTCCTATACTAGACTATATTTATATAACAAGAGCATTTCACTCGCAGCCTTATACCCATACCACTCTCATCCCAACAAACTCCCACACGATGCCCCGACTTGGCTCTGCCTGGATCCCCAATGGTAGAATCCTGGCCATGACAGGGCTGTCTCAAAGGCTCTCATTTATTGCTATTGGGCTTGCTGTAAACCCCCCGCAACAACATCAATATTCTAATGGTATACTCATAGCAATCCTTCCTGATCGCATCTTTCCACCGCCATCTCAGGGTGGACCGGCTACTAATAGATTGCACACACTGTTCCTTGTTGATGTGGTCCCTAGCTGCCTCCTTCTTATTTTCACTACAAAGTGGCACGCACTATACCATATACAAATTGAAATTATCAACTCTATGGATCCCTTGTCCCATTGCATAGCAACTAAACCAGTATTGTGGTTACATGGAACAGGTTGCCGCTCCACGCCTCTAAATTTTTCAGCTATCTTAACTAACTCTAATGTGTATTCAATGCTACCATGAATTGCTGCTGGAATTCTCCTAGAAATGTTCACCCTCTATTGCAATAGATTTTTTACAAAACAAGACAAAAAAACAAACGAACAAAAACATTGGGGGGTTTTTTTCAAATCAAAACCCAAAAAAACCCCAAAAAAATTATATAAACATTTGACTTGATGCCACAGAAACTGAACAGTTGTGAATCTCTATTTTAGGAAATATGAAGCGGCAATAAAATAAAGTCACGATGCTTGGCCTAGTGGCCTTGCAAGTTGCAGCTTGCAGCTTTTGCCCTTTTATATCAAAATCATTGCCAACTGATATTTAAATTTTAAAAAAGACAATAAATAAACAAATATATATCTTTGGCATTTGTTTTTTAATATTACTATTATTTATAAAAAAACTGACTAAATATATATTGATGGTTGCATGGCAAAAACCAACCAAAAATAAACGGCCTAATAATTGACGGTTGATGCCCGAGAATATTTATATATTTATTTTATAAATTAATATTTAAATTTTGTTTTTGTAGTTCGTTTGTTTAAAAAAAAGAAGAAGAATATATTGATAAACACATTCCAACTCGCCGACTCCTCCATAATAGATATTCCCGGCACCCATCTCCATCCCAGTACACTCACAGGCGCACCTTGTCATGAGAAGTACAGATCTCTGTTAGGGGCACTCATTGGTTTCGCTGCAAACATGTCCCGCCCGGAGATTGCATGTACTTTAGGCCAACTGGCTTCATGCAGCAACAAACCACTCCCTTCGCACTGGACAGCTCTACAACGGATACCCTTGTACCTCTCTGCCACAAAACACTTTATACTCAAATACACACCCAACACCATAAACACACCACTCGCCCAGGCATTGCAAGCCTATTCTGACTCGATTTGGTGGGTATACCTCGGCACCCAAAAATCTCATAGTGACACATTGATTACCATCAATGGTACACCTATACTATGGAACTCGGCTAAACAAAAGACAATAACTGGAAGCAGTGGTGAAGCGGAATAAATAGCCGCTGGAGAAACCACAAGAAAGATTTCTTGGATTAGGAACATACTGGAAGGCCTGAAAAACACATTACAAGCACCTACCATATTACACATAGACATCCAAACTGTCATCAAAGTAGCATTAGGCACAGGCACACCGAAAGGTCTGAAGCACATTGAGATCAAGGAACACTACATACGTGACTGCGCCCACAGGAACGTCATTGACCTCCGCTACATTTCCACGCATGACAATCCCGCAAATTTACTGACCTAAAGTTTATCCCGCCCGAAGCATGAACATTTCAGCGCGATGTTTTTACATGCACACGACGACTACTTCGTCGAGGCTCAATCTATTACGTTAAAAATACTACGCGACTTCGTAAGCAAGATAAATCGAAGTGCATTACAGTTTAGCTTCAAGGGAGGTGTGGAGTAAGAATTACTCTCTCTCTATACGAATCTATACTCTAGCACACGTCCACTAGACAGGGCACTAGTCCGTAGCTCGGACCACATGTTCAAATAGATAATGACACTTTTTTTTTAAACAATACATGAAAGGCGTACAGACTTCAAATATGTATTTAACTTAAGTATGTAGAACACTATTTACTTTTAGTTATTCAGATTTCTTATTTGCATTCCTTGAAACTCGTGAAAGTTAAAAGACTTTCGTGCCCAGGCAATCAGGCGTAGCCTTCTGAAAATTACACATACAAAAGGAAGGCCCAGGCTTTAAAAAAATAAATAGTGCTCCCCGCAATATTTATGCCTTTTTATATATTTGTTTGTGTTTCTAAAACAATCATCAAAACAAGAATAATAGAAATTTATAACGGGTGACTGTCCCATATCGAAAATTGTGAAGAAAAAAAAATCTTCTTCACATAGATGGGCAACCTCTATATTTTAAAATCCCCGCCGGTCTTGAGCCTTGAGGTTAGATGGCAAACGGTTTGCTCTATATTACTACATATTACATTTTGTTTACCCTGAGCCTCTGGCGGGCTAACCTCATAAAGTTATGGGGTCACTGTAAACGTACAATATTTACCTGTTACTTTTGAAATATATAAATTATAACTTGTATTTGGAACAAATGAATATCTTATGTTTTTCAATTTTGAACTTGACAAGTTGTCCTATAGTTTAAGAGATTGGGCCAAGGAATGTATAATAGCCAATCAAGAATCGTATTTCGCTCAACCTAACATCTGGAAGACGTTGGCCAAAAAATAGGACATAACACTTATACTCAGGGACCTGATTATTGCACCCGCTGAATATGAGTAGGGCCTTTAACGTAAAAATCACACAAAAATAAAAGTTTTAACTTTTAACTTTACGAGGTTAGCTGGGGGGGCCTGGTGACCTGGTCCCTGGGGCCTGGAGGCCTGCTGGAGCCTGGAGACCTGCTGCCATGCTGGAGCCTGGATTTTTCGAGTGAGCAGTTTAACTGTTTCTTACGTTTTCCAAAAACGTACGAATTTATTCATTTACACTTCTCTCTCTCTCGATAGTCGAAGCATAGCAAGGGTCATGAATTCATGATCGATTTTGCATTTCCAGTATACGTTTACAGGGCCTGGAGATTTTTGCTATTTAACCGAGACTATGGAAGTTAAAATATTTACCAAATACATACAGTCTCACGGCTCACCAAATAAAAATCCAGGTAAGAACATCTATTCAGGTATTTTTAAATATATTTTTTAACATACAACAAAGGCTAGCAACTAGTTTACCGGTCTAATCAGTAATCATTCAGACACCAGTAAATTCTGAGCTGAAGTCTTTTCACTCAATCACATATTTGTAAGTAGCTCTAGCTCCAGCCTAAATTTATCATGCCAAAGATGTGTTCAAGATAAATTAAATTAAAAATGAATCTGGGGGTGTTAAGTTTAATAAATTAACCGACAGCGCAATCCGACAACTCAGAGGCTGGGGGTATTTATCTATGTGCTAACGCCTGAACGAAGATATGCTGCTGGGCTTTGTACATCAAGAAGCTTTACTATAAAACACGCGGTGATTCCAGCAATTCTACACATAAATATCAATCGAACAGTCTTTTATGTATATAGCATGACTTTGACAAACATCGAAATAAAAGAGTCTCAGGTCAAGCTGGATTCAAATGAATCCCGGCAGCATGACGTAAACGGCGATACACTATCAATTCAGTCAGCTACCGCCGAAGCGTTAGGTACAGATATCACTCGCGGATCGGGTATATTCGGATCAGTCATGAATATGACTAACACTATTCTCGGTTCAGGAATCCTGTCCATTCCATATTCCACAGCACAACTTGGGTGGGTCCTTGCGTTGGTGATCATGTTTTTGGGTGCAACACTAACATTGTTCGGACTGCACCTGCTCAATAGAATAACAGATCGTTTGGGAGGTAGAAAAACATCCTTTGGCGATGCCTGTCGCCAATCATACCCGTGGCTAGTACTCATGGCCGACTTCGTCGTGTCCATCACACTCTGGTCAATATCAGTTATATATATGACCATTGCGTCGAGTATGCTTCCCGATGTGATGCGAGCCTTAGTTGGCGACGATGTCAGTGCTGATGTCTTTTACATGCAGACGTGGTTCTGGCTGCTGATTTGCTGGGGTTGTTTTGCAGCACCCCTGTCCATGCTCAAGTCGCTCTGGTTCCTTGCATACACATCGTTGTCGGCTTTAGTCTGTGTAATCTGGACCGCTTTTGTTGTGTTCGCCTATTGTGTGGGTATCTTCGATCCCTGCGACGGAACAACAAATGATTGTCAAGGTGATACGGAGGCAGCTATCTGGGACTTCGGTGCGATAATGCGCGCCTTCCCTGTTTTCGTCCTTGGATTCTGTGTAGGCCCGGTTCTATTCAATATTTACAACGCAATGGACCACCAGACTACGAAGCGCATGGACATATCCGCTGGCTGTACCATCTCACTTTGCACTGTACTGTATGTGATCATTGCCATCTGTGGCTACTTCACCTATGGCGCGAATGTCGATTCCAACATTCTTGATTCCTATCCTACTTCTGTACCCGCGTCCATCGCTCGCCTCGGTACGGCATTTGTAGTCACGGTGTCCTATCCTTTGCTAATGCACTCATCTCGCGACTCCGGGATGCACGCTATCGGAACCATTGTGGCGATGTGCGGGAAGAAAGAACAGGGCGTTGCTCTTACAGACTGTAGCACCAAAATAGGAAATATTTTGTTCTACATCATGACAACCTTCTTGAATATTGCTGCATTTGTATTTGCATACTTTCAGATTGATATCAACACGTTGCTGTCAATTACCGGAGCCGTAGGAAATGTCAATCTGAGTTTCACACTACCGGCAGTAATTTATTGGAAGATGTTCGAGGAGGATGGTATGACACTTCGCCGTATGCTCTGCATACCATTTAGCATCTTCGGACTACTTACCATGTGCATTAGTTTATGGGCGAATTTTTCCTAGGGTTTTTCTACAAGTAGATCAATGACATCAAATTAAACAAATATAATCTAATATTTAACCTCTTCAATCACACACACACACACACACACACACACACACACACACACACAC